CAAATTTCCATGGCTTTGGACCAAGGCTGAGAACGGTTTTATTGGAATGCGTAAAGGGGAAAGTGTTGTTAAATGATTCTACCTTCACTCTCACAACTGCAGATTCCAGGGGGATTGGGTGGAATACACAGAGACAAGAATGCAGGAAACTCTTAACAGTCTTGGTTGATTGGGGTTGATTGGGTTAAAACCTTCCGGAATCATGTAAAATGATTCTGAAGTCAATAAAATGCTGATTGAAGGATGATTAATTTAAACTACAATAAACAGACTCCTTGTCATGTAGTTGGCTTTGTAGCAAATACATATTTTCTCAGTGGAATTGTATCAACATTCATTTTTCTTTGATTTCTGGATATTGTTCTCAATTTTCTTCTGAGGAGAGGTTTCAAACTTTTTTAGAAACCCCTGACTTGTTCCTGTTGGAACTTGCATGCTCAGAAACTGGCCTTGTGTCAGCACATCACCTGTTAGTTGTTAAGAGTTTCATTTTCAAAGCTATGATTTCATCTCCCTGAAGAGAAGGTGGACAAAGAGATTCAATGCAACAGCAGTGTTTTAGCTGGAGATGTAAACCAAAAACCCAAACATTTTTGGGGATGAACTCAGACCAGATTGAGTTCTGTGTTTACATTTAGAAAGTACTGTAGCTTGGAATGCGTGATAAGCCTTGTCATTTAGGTTTTAAAGGAGTTTTATTCACTAATAACCAGTAGTATTTGGTCTGAAAATTAGGATAAATGAACTAGAGCATTCTCCAGGAGTGAGAGAAGAACGCTTTTGCTTTTCTTGCCATCCAGGTCTGCAGTTGCTACTGTGCCTGCTTTGTTTAGGTCTAATAACGCTTTATTTCGCTTTAACCTTGTGTTGAATTCTTGGTCCAAAACATGCGAGTGTTGTGAAGTTCAAGGCAGAGCAGTATCACTGTGAAATGGGGAAATGCAGATAATGAAATGGGGAGCTTAGTAGGGTCCAAGAGGTGACAGAGATCAGACTCTCTGCGAGTAAAGGATGAGGAACTCACTGAAAACTTGCTTCAGGATGAGGTTTCTGTGGAGACTTCCAACGCTTTTTGGTTGTGTTTGAGTAGGAAATGCTTTGAGAACAGCTTTTCCTGTGGTCTTATCTCAGGCTTAAGTACAAAGATATATAACCTGTTTTCTTTTCTCCTTTAAAAATATTTAACTGCGCTTTTAAAAACCTCAGCAGAAAAAAAAACCAGTTTTGGTTCAAGTGCTGAGAACAGGCTTAGACCAGTTTTCACTGCCCATATCCATCTGCCTAGTTCTGAGCGTTGCAGGGGAGTTTTTTCATTTGATATAAAGGAGAACTACGTTTAGGCTAATTTAGGAGAGAAAATTTCTTAACTTTTAGAACTTTCTCTTCCCAGTTTAACCATTTACTTCAAAGATGACTGAAAAGGAAAATGTTGGTCACAACTATGTCTTTAGAATCAAAAGGATGTATTCATATTAGTCAGACTCTTAAGGCATCCATCCCTTTTCTTGCTACATACCAGTGTCCATACGTGAAACTATCACATGCTGACATGGCACTCCTACTTAATTTTTTTCTTTCCTAATGATATACTTCTTGCAGCTTTTCCACTATTTTTTTTTTTATGTCTGCAGTTAAAGCAATACATGTTGGTTTTGCTTTTTTTTGAAATTATTTTAAAGCACAGAAAAAGCCATCTGTGCAAATATAGAGAGTATCTCTTCATATTAACCCAAGACTGCAGTATGTAGTAAGTGAAGAATGATACCATCAAAAAGCTCGTAATGTTGAATAACTTGTGTATTTTCCTTATTTTTAGAAAAAACAGACCTTGGTGTTCAGTGCTTTCGTAAACTGTGCCTCATAGTTGCCTTTTGCCTGAGTGTTGGTGGTATAATTAGTCTCTAGGGGGGAAATGCCTTGTGTAAATATATGAAAGGCATGGAATGGAATAGACGTTACGCAATTTACATCCTTTTTGTGAGATCTCACTTTTGTAAAATGTTCTTGTTTTGGTCTTCTGGCTGGATAAATACAAGCTGAGTGAATCCTGATGTCATGGAAGCTCTAAACACCTTTTTTTTTTTTTCCCCCTGAGCATTACAAGCAGAGCTTTCTCTCTTGACCCTGTTCAGTTGCCAGAGCTGATTTTAGAATATCCATTCTTTTCCTCACTGTTGGAAGATTACCTTTGATGAAACGGAACTCTTCAGTGACTCAAACCTTTGAACTCAGTAGAACAGCACTTGCGAAGATGGGTCTGACCTGAGAATTTGGATCCAATCACAATTTTAAATACCTTTTCCCACCTCCTGCTCATTCCAGCTCCACACCTAAATCCAGTGTGATTATTCTGTAAACTTGAGTCAGCTCCCTTACAGAGAGTGCTAGATTTTCATCCAATTTAAAATTGGTTTAAAATATGGATGAAAAAACATTTAAATACTTAGAATTAGAGTAGCATAAACCAGATGTGAAAGTAAAGCTGGCTGCAAGCAAAATTCAGGCAAGTAGTCGGGATCCCATCCGGATCCAGAAATCCTTCACTTCTAGCATCTCTAAGTGCTCTGATCTGTTGGGTTTGGATGAGGTTGGTCACTGTCAGTGCTAAATCAAAAACTTGCCTATATTGGCTTCAGCTGGAATCCCTCCTCCTGTGCTGTTTTTAAACAGGGTAGCATCCCCCCTTGACCAGACCTGTGTGCCTAGCCGCGTTGTGCTGCTCCCTGGGCTGTGGATCTCCGTGCACAAGCAATACTTGGTTATTATTGGAGAGCTGAGACGGCCAGAAGAAAAATTCCACCCTCCATGCCCTCCTCCTCCTCTCGCCCTCTCCCCAGTCTCCTCTGTTGTGGTCCTCTGCGCCAGTGCAAAGCGTTCTGTTCCTGAAGGGGAAGTGGGGTACCTCAACTTCCCTAAAGGACCATTAGAAAACTGTAATTTCAAAACGAGTTTCCTGTCCAAGGAAGAGGGCTTAGCACTTATAAGAACAGTTCTCCACTGTACAAGGCAGACATTTTAGTTTTATGAGGAACAAATAAAACATTCCTCTCTGCTTTACAGGCATAACACTTTCTTAGACTCTTTAGTTACGAAATGACCTGTCTGCATAGTTATGCCGCTCAGCTGCAGAGAGTAACACGGCCCGACTGTTCGGCGGTGCCTGATGCAGCAAAGCGGCAGGGCCGAACCGAAAAGCAGCCTGCTGTTGGCAGCAAGTCCTTTCCCTGCTTTCCAGCCTCTAATACAATCTGAGACACAAACAAAAGGATCCCTGACCTAGAGAGGTGGAGATGGTGGCGTTACGGTCGGCTCGTCGCTCGGGAAGGGATGCAGGTCATCTGTCGCAGCAGTGCGAATGCAAGCCAAACCTCGTGTCTCTGAGCTGTGGCTTTTGCAAAGTTATGTGAGAAGGATTATGCCAGCTTAATTCAGTTCTTTGGAGGTGTGGAAAGCATAGTCAGGTTGACCTTACCCTGCTAATCCTTCTGTAAAAATAAATTAAAGCAATTGTTGTCAGCATGAAATGTTGGGTGACTTTTGGGGGCTTAGATTTAATATCCTCTCGCCCTATGATAAAGTTAGTAGTTGAAGAACACAAAAGTAGTGAAAGCTTACCAAACTCCTCAATGGAGCTTAACTGCAGAACATCCAGCAGCAGCTGTAAGTTTTCTGGTAGGTGTCATAACTAGCTTATTATGGGACTTAGGATGAAAAATAATTGGAGAATCATGTTAAATTCAGCCTAATGAAAAACCATAGTCTGTGCTCTATAGTATTACTTGAGATTTACTATGTGTTATGGGTAAAGGCATGTGGTCATGTGAGCTTTGATTTTAGTATTTTTCATTTCCAAATTAATGTTTTAATTCAGGTCTATTTGCCTCTAAAGCAAGTTTATGGGAGAGCTTTCATGGTATAGTCATTTGTTAAATATGAAATCAATCTCATTCCCTATTCTAATGTTAAATTTTAATATATTAAGTGTGTAAGAGGTATGAAAAAGGCATTTTCATTTTCTTTGTTTCTCATTTTCCAAATGTTACCAGGTGTGTAGAAGGAAATACACCAAAAGCAATAGCAAAACAGTCTGTACAGAGAGATGACAGGTTACATGTAACAGGGACAGCCATAGCACAGAACTGCAAAGTCAGATAAACAAGTTATATCACTTTGATTGTTCCCCAGACTTTCTTCTAATTAATTGCATTCGTTGCCTAAGAGCCTTAGTTGAGTTGAAGACAGATAAGTTAGCAGGTGATGCTCTAGCCTTTCACTTCATAGGCCCTTGCAAGGGAGCGAGTTCATCTTTCCTAATGTCAATAAAAGCCATCATATGGGCAGCTGTTAAATGTCAGGATGGAAATTTCTTCTAAGGAGATAATTTGCTTAGGAGCAAACAAACATGATTCGTCAATTACTTTTTCTGGACAGAAACTTCTCAAAGAGAGAAGACATCATTAAGTCAGGGTAGCTGCAGAGTTTGTATTTTCAGTGGCTTGACTTGGATGCGTGCTTACTTGCTCCCATGATGTTAAAAATGAGAAACTGAGCATAGTATCTTTTCCACTAATAATGAAGTAGAGGCCACGCAAGCGAGAGCTCACAATCATGACAGGTTTGAGGCAAAAAAACCCAGCTGTAGCATTTGTACATCTAATACTGTCGCCTGACAGGAGAGGGATCCTGGGAGTTGAACACACAGTAGCCTTCAGAAAAACACTGAGAAGTCAAGAATCTAGGGGAACTGCTTTAACAGGTCAAAAAGTAAATATAGTCTAGGCCACAGGACTTCCAAGTGAGCGTTTGCCCTTCAGTGATTAGACATTAAAAAGAAAATAATAATTTTAGGGTTAGGTGACTATTGAGGGTATTCTACAGCAGTTAGGAATAACGTGATATAATTCAGATGGCTTTTTGCATGGATGATAAATAACACATTGATTTTTTTTTTTTTTTGTAATGATCACAATATAATTAAAAGGGGCTTACTTTTTCCTCAGCGGAAATTCTTGAATTGGCTGGAAATGCAGCAAGGGACAACAAGAAGGGTCGAGTCACTCCTAGACACATCCTGTTGGCTGTAGCAAATGATGAAGAATTAAATCAGGTAAGAAAAATCTCCTCTGTGTGAGGGCCAGGATTTCCTTTAGGGCTTTTTAAATTGTCTTTCCATGTAACTTGAATTGTAACTCAAGACTTCTGCTTATTGAGTAGCCCACCAGGAAACAGCTCATTCACTCACTAGCACACTGCCTGTGTAACTAACTACGGCACTCAGCTTAATTATGTATTTCAGGCCTCTTAAAATGTGTAAGGACACAATGGAGATGTAATATGACATTTGCTCCTGTTATTACAACCACTTCTGCTGGAGTGGGACATTGTCATAAACTCTACAGAGACGTGGATAAAATCTTGTAGGTGTGGGTTTTTTTTGTTGTTTGGGCTTTCCCCCCTCCCCCTTAAGCAGTTTAAGACTCAGTGGGACCTATCCTCTTCCCATTGAAGTCTGTCATTGTGTCCACAGAATTAAGAGCTCTGGAACTGTTGCAAGGCTGTGTCTTTTGCTGATTCCAAGATGCCTTTAACTTAGCCAAAAAAAAAAAAAAAAAAAAAATTAGGCATTATTATTACAGTGTTGTGATGTCAGCCAGAGGCACTGGCTGGGATTAATGTACCTTTGTGTGAGGTGCTGTAAAAACACATCTGAAAAGATACTTTTTCCAAACCTGTGTGTCATGATGGAGCAGGAAATAAAAGTATTCCCAAACCAGCCTCCTTCTGGCTTTCTCTGAAAACTGGTAATACTTTCCACTCATCATCCCTTTGTAAGCTTGGAGCCTCACTGAGTTGTGGTTGGGGAGCAGTAAACACGAATCAGAAGGTGGGAGTACTTGGATGGCATGGCACTGTTTGTATCCTCCCAAATACTGAGTTAGTCCCAGTTAGATGTATAAAAAATGGGTTAAAGTGCTTTAAAACACAGAACATGATATATTTCACCTCTGCTTTTAAAGGCTTGAATGAACTGCACACTTTTGAATATTGATCTGCTTTTCTTCAACTACATAAAGATTTTTTTGAAGAAAGACTTCCAGGTATAGAGATTTGTATAAATGTTACCCTCATTTGAAGTTTCTTCTTCTAAGGAAAAAAATCTGTTTTACAAATGCACTTTCAAGAAAATTCAGCAGTTGGGACGTATAGTGGGTTCTCCAGCGTGGTACCAGCTGCAGTCCCAAACTGTGGACCTTGGGGTCCCCTTCCTCTCACACAGGCTGCCCCGTAAAGCCCTCAGGGCTGGGGCTGTCCTGTTCAGTCATAGCTGGGTAACAGTCTTCATTGCATGGCTTCCCAGAAACAGAGCTTGTGTGAACCCAAGAGGTACTGACGGTTACAAGCGTATGTGTGAGAGGAACACATGTTCCCTTTGTAGGTAAAATCTGGTACGTAAGCAACTCCAATTCATACATTCCGTGTCTCTCTTCCTCAGGGGTCATGTGTTGAGAAGCAGACAAGAACCACTTAAAACTCAGGCAATGTGCACAGTTGGCAGTAAACGCCATTTTCTGTTTATTAGAGAGTAAATGCTGAAATTTGTCATCTACAACTTTCACTTTTTTATTAGCTATTGAAAGGGGTCACCATAGCCAGTGGTGGAGTCTTACCCAATATTCACCCAGAGTTGTTGGCAAAGAAGCGGGGATCAAAAGGAAAACTGGAAGCCATCATCACTCCACCTCCAGCAAAGAAGGCAAAGTCTCCATCACAGAAAAAAACTGTATCAAAGAAAACAGGCGGCAAGAAAGGAGCAAGGAAATCCAAGGTAGAGTAATCCATTTATTTTAAATGCAAACAAGCTTGCTACGGGGAGCTGTAGGGAGCATCACGTAGGGTAGAGTTTCTGTTCCATGTGTTGTTAACAATAGTGATTTCAGTGTAGAATCACAGAATATTTAGGTTTGGAAAAGACCTTTAGGATCATCAGGTCCAGCTGTTAACCCAGCACTACTGGTACCACCACTAAACCATGCCCCTGCGTGCCTCGTCCACAGGTCTCTTAAATACCCCC